CCATTCAACGTGGTAATGCTGCCAGTCTTTTGGGCACCCTACCTCACGATAATGATGAGGAAAATTTTTTTTTTGATGCCTTATTATAGCTTATTTATTTATTATTACCTTTTTTTTTAAGGTGTAAATATTTTAGTTCATAGTTATTTATATTTTAAGTTGTATATATTTTCATTTAGTTATAGTTAATATTAATTGTGTATCTGTGTAGAATGTTCTACAATTGTACGATAATTATTTTTAGTCTATGGCTTACATTATCACTCGAGCGAGAGTGTGGTGTTTTGAAGCGAATTGCAAATTTTCCTTATTATTTCCTCAAAAAGCTTAAAACAAGATCCAAAGCTTTTAGTTTTCTTACCATATTTATGTGTAAAATCAGTATATATATTCACATATCAATTCCAATAATGGAGTTTCTATAGTGAATTAGATCTGATGGAGTGCCGATATCAATCTATCTTTTTCGAAAATATGTGGAAATATGTTACGCGGCGGTTTCGGGATACGTTGGAGCGGGGTGCTAATCAATTTGATAGATGCAGCTCCACCGTAGTCGGTAATGGTGCTGTCAATTTTTGTGAGGAGAAAAATGACAGTCCACCTTGGTGGTTATCAATGCGTAGTTCTGAATCCTATCAGAACGAGAATGAGCCAAACCATCAGGAATGGAGCCCCGAACATCAAGAGAGAAATTGGATGGGTGCCATTACATGGGTATGTTTTCAATGCATTTGGCAAGTTTATTTTTATCGCTGACATAACACATTTATCTAAAAAACAGATTGGTCTGTTATCTGAATGAAGAAGTCAATAATCATAGTATTAGTGTTGTTTTTATTTTTGACTTCTTTGTGTAGAAGATACTGATAATTTGTGAACAGTAATCACAAGTAGGCTAGCTTGTTTAGAAAACCATTGCAAATATTTGTATAGCATCTTCCATATTGGTGATGTCATCTTGTTTTGGAAAGCCAAACTATTCCTTAGAACTTTGAAACTTAAATAACATTTGGATAAGTTATTCCTTTAAACTTGAAATATAGTGATTGTAATATGATTAGAATTATAGCCTCAACTTATTTGTAACATTATTGCTTATTTATTTCCAATATCAACATTAATTTTATTGTCCTTGATAGTGTTTATTTTAAAAACAAGTTTGTTACCTTTGTGTCTGACAGATAAGTTATTAGTTATACCGAAAGTTTTCTATTGTGGTCACAAATAAATCATACAAAGAAGTTATCTTGTCAATGTAAATAAATAAAGCCAATCTTAACTAGTTTTAACAAGATATAATTGGCTCTTTCATATCATTTCCCCTTCCAGCTTTTATTATCACTTTTCATTTATATATTCTAATTTCTTTTAACTCAATTTAAAAACTGAATGCATAATCAGAAGTGAAAATTGAAACAATATGATAAACATTTGAATATTGTTTAAAAGTTATATGATCCCAGAGTAAATACTTTCATAGTTCTGTACACTAAATATTTAAATTTATATTTAGTACACACTTAGCATACCTACTTACTACATATTTTTAGAAAATCACAAGGAAAATGTATTGTTCTGTACACATTCATATTATTGTTCATCAAAATAATAATGCCCATAGTCACATAGTAAATAATATTAAAATTACTAGTAGTAATGGTTTTCATAGTTAGTAATAACAATAATAGTGAACTGGGACATTCATTCATCTGCAATGTTACCACATTATTATGAAATAGGCCATGTGTTGCATGTCCTTAAATGTCCTCAAGCCTCCTGTATGTTATCAAACTTGGTTAACATTGTGCCAAATTATGAAATAACTATTGAAAAATGTAACTGTCATTCAAATTGACTATAGTTAGGTATGTATATTGATAAATGAGGTTCTGAAAGTCCCTGAAATAAGTGTCTCAGTATAATTAGTGTTTTTGAGAATTATTTGATTTTCATCATTTCAATATCAATTTTCACACCATTCATCCATCTTTCCATAAGTGAGTTAGTACTCCATTCATCAACCTTTTCATTTATATTCCATTTCATTACTTTAAGTATGTAACTATCATATAATTAATATTTTTTAGGAAAATGGTGTGAACATAAGTGAAAACCCGGAGATACATGCAGGCCCACCCTGCAAGTGGCTTGCACTCCGCAAAAGATTTGAGTCCCACCAAGATGACAATGGTCCAAATGACCACAAGTGGAACTTTGGACATGGAGATGGGCCATGGTCGTGGGGAGGCAAGCCATGGGTATTTATTTTTTTTTAAATAATTCTTTATAGATCTAATAAGGCCTATAAAGATCAAAATCTTTTCAACATAAAGGTTTGACACTGGCCGATAAATATGCCTCGTAGCTTATTATAAAGTAATTACTTAATTCTTTCAGGAACATGGTCCTGAAAAGGGAGGTGAAAGCAATGTGAAGAAACCAGGGCCTCCCTCTAAATGGCGTGGATTTCGCTGCAGGTCTTTCCAGAAAGGGGAAGGTCCAGATGCCGAGAAATGGAGGGAACATCGAGCTAGAATTGCTAAAATGTGGATGGATCCCAAAAAATGGGTATGTTTATCAATGAATCAATTTTGTGATAGAAGTATTTGCTGTTTGGTAGTTCTAATATAATATATTTTTTTGTCCCAAATATGTACCATTACAGCATGGAAGATGCTTAAATACATAATATTGTATTGTTTTACCAACATTATACATAGTTATAATATACTGTGTGCGCAATGTGCATGGCCCAATAATTTTGGTCAAATTATATTGTTTTTTTATTACTATCATTGTTATTGGCTTATCTTCTTCTTACTAAAGTTAATTCATTCCGTCTTAATTCACTGGGGGTTGCCACATTTTTCATTTAAAGAATCACATTGTCCTTTCCTAAAGTACTTATTCTCTTCTGTCATCATTCACATACTTGAAAGAAAGATACAACTTTCTTCATCCTCTCTAATCATCCTTACATTAAACTATTTTTCAAATATGGTTTTTAATTTCTTTCACTACTCTCTTTTATAACTCAAGTTTTATATTTGAGTTCCACCTTCACCACAACCTTTTTTTTATATATTTTTTCATATAGGCTTTCATTTTCACAATTTAATTGAACCAATCCAAATCATATTCAAATAATTTGTAGGAAAATCGCATGAATGAACTTCATGAGAGAGATGAGAAACATGTTGGTCCACCTCGTAAGTGGCATGCACTTCGCTGTCAAACATACCAAAACGAGAATGAAATGAAATGGAGCATTGACCACCCAGAGAAAACTTGGATGAGTCCCAGATCATTGGTTTGTTACTATACCAATAGGAAGATAAGCCAGCTCTGCATGCGGATCCTAATCTATTTTTTATCTAATCTGAGTATACTAACTGACACATGATTTTGATGCTTGAAATGATAATGGCTGCTATATTTTAACGTGTTTTACATTATGTAAATATGTATATACTTTATATATCGATTGCTTGAGGATCAATATTATGTATGTATATTGCATGAAATATTTCTGCATGATTCAATGAGAAGTATCAAATAAATAATATTTAGATTTATTAATTCTTTCAGGATAATCAATTGGAAACAGTAAAGGAAAATAATGAAGAAAATCCATCGAGTAAGTGGCTCCAACTTCGCAAATGCTGCAAATCGTACAATGATGATAAAGGCACTAACAGCAACAAGTGGGGATTCCAACACTTGAACAAGACTTGGATGGATGCTATAACATGGGTATGTTGATTGCCAGACTATCCTCATCTAATGAAGGTTCAGTGACCTGTAACAACTCTAGTCATGTACCTAATTAGCTATTCAAACAAAAATGAGAAACAGTAAATTGAGACCTACTAGGAAGGTAGAAAATTCTCATCATAAACTTTTCTGTTACTACCAATAACATTTTATACCTACAGTAATAGACTTCCAAGATTGAAATAATGTTAATATCTTAAACAAACAAGCTCAAATATACTGTCTCTTATATCTTGGAAGAGTGCTAATTGTCTTATTGACAAAAATGTAATCAGGCACAATGTTATGACAAATTATGATATGTTTTTACAGAGTGGTGCAGCAGTTTTGGGATGGTATACTAGTCAAATTATACATTTCAAAGTGAAGCAACATTGCAGGATTCTTGACATTCAAGAGAAAGCATGCGCCCCTGTTAACAACTTGGTGAATTCTGTCCAGCCATTCTTGTCAAGTGTAAACAAAAATGACTTCTACATTGAATCCATTTCCAAAATTGGGAAGATGTTCTCTGAATTTACTCCCACTGTATATTTGATGCCTAATGACAGTGAGAAAGATTTCAAAGACTTGCCTAAAGTTTCAATCAAGGAGAATGTATCTGAGAAAACCAGTGTAACGAGAACTCTCAGTAATTCTAGCTCTGAAACATCTGATGATGACTTGGGTGATGTGCTGAATTCCATTGAAAACAGACTCGGCTTAGCGGCCATTGAGAGTGGACACTATCAAGATGGATTAAGTTTACTAAGGTAATTATTTGAAAGACTACAAAAGATACCACGCATATTTGTATTTTAGGAATACTCAACGTTTCGGCACTGATTTATGTGCCCAGTCTATTTTCGATAGGAGATTAATTTTAAGTTTGATTCTAGTCACACAAAAGGCATGTGTAATTTTGATTTTCGAATATCTTAATTTTTATAATGGCTATTTTCATAACGCCATTGTCTTGAATTGTTGATAAAACTTTACTAATAAAACAAAACATTGTCTTTTTTTTCCAGATCTGCAGCTGAACGTAACCATGCTCCAGCCATTTATAACTTAGGGCTTTGCTATGAAAAGGGATTAGGTGTAACTGCTAATGAAAAAACTGTAAGTTAAAACAGAAAACTAGTGTAATATTATTTTACAAAATCCCAATTAAAGATGACAATTCCGACTTGGAAATTTATGTTCAATAGTCGCCTTTGTAAAGTAATCGATTTTTTCAAAATTTTATGTTAATTTTCCAGGCAATGGAGCTATACAAGTCGGCCGCCTCACTGGATCACCCTGAAGCCCTATACAATCTGGGCATTTACTACGGTCAGGGTCGAGGCGGGCTCAAAGCTGATCAGGAAACTGCGATACGTTTGCTACGCCTCGCCGCAGTGCAGGGACAACAGGCTGCAGTCGAGGCTCTGAAGTATCTCAACGTGAGTATTTCTGAGCCGCGACACAAAGACGTGAACACATGGACTTATAACAAACATTCAGATTTTACCACAAACCCACATGTCCCAACACCAAGCGGAATGTTTGTCGAAAATATAAATTACCTGCAGGCAGCAGTGTGAAGCTGCGATGGCATTTTTGTATTTTAAGTTGGTGGTGGATGATTTTGTATCGCGTACATACACCTTAATTAGTTGCTAAGTTACAATACACGCAAAGCGTGATTATACCAAGTAATTAAATTACATAGTTTTTTAAAAAGGTGGTGTCACATTGTATTTTTTAAGACGGAATGTTTAAATCACTAATTATCCCTTTAGTTTCTTCTTTTGATGGATCAATGTTGTTTTACAATAATTTTTATAATTTTATTTTAAAAGCAGAATTTTAATTTGTTGCTGTAATTTGCTGCTGTACTATTAGACAGATAAAGAAAAAGGTTGCTTGGAATTCGTTGACGAACACCTACTTCACCATTTTATGAAATGCTTTCAGTGATCAAATTAAATTATTATTTGAACATATTAAAATTAAGTCTTATTTCACACACCCACTCAGCGTCCAACATTTATAATAAATAAGCTTACACGTGAAGACCACATACCTCGTCACTTCGGTGTTGCTCTAGAATTCGTAAAATTGTGCTTGAATGAAAGATCTACGTGATACTTCACAAAGTTCTCAATAATACATACAACAAAGTATTCATTAGAAGTATTTTTTTTTCTAATGACATCATTCAGGTTGTACTAAATAACTAGCGATAAGGCGGTACGCTCGTTATTTCATTATTGTTTTTTCTATGTATGCACCTGCAATCAACTGCTCTTTGCGACGCATAAGGATCAACACTGCATTTATCGCGAATTATACAAATTAATTCGAATCAAATCATTCATCTTTAAAGTTTATGTAAAAATTGAAAAGGTGTAAATGTTTTTGGTAGAAACTTATCTTTCTTCTCTCGTGTGGACTTCAGAATTTGATAAGTAATCGCAGAGACAAGAAGAATTAAGTTAAAACTGCCGAGTATGTTTGTGTGGTCAGCCACACTAAAATATTGGCAGCTACCAAACTTTACTACTTTTTCTAGTTATGTTATTTATTATGTAGAAAAAGACATAACTATATAAGTTACTTTTTTAAGCTATTTTAATGTGTTAATTGTAACATGTAATAGTGTCTAATCTCAGCGGTGTTGTTCCTTAAGCGACGTATTAAATGTACAATGTACAATATACATCCATTTACTTAATAATTTTGTATTCTTTTGTTTTGAAGCTTCACCACAAAAAATCCGCCTATGTTGTTCCTTAGTTTTCGAGTATTGACTTTATATCGTAACTATTTCAAAATGACACAAAATAAATGCTTCAGTATATATGATTATTATTATTGTCACTGTATATGTAATTTACATAAATCAATAAAAATGTTGAAAACCAATCAGCGTTTTATTTCAATTTTTATTATTTCTTCCGGGCACGGCCCCACTCACTCTCTGGATTGTACTACACATTGTTATCTAAAAATGTATAGAAGTCAAACAAAATACTTCAATATCTAATTAGTTGCATACGGGATAAGAAACTTCCGCGCTCCGTGTAATCTTACAGTTAAAGGTTCATGTTTTAACGGTATTAAAACAGGGCTCTGAGATGATAATAGGCATTCCTCAAGGTTCAATATAAGGTCCCTTTCTCTTTTTAGTCTATATAAATGATTTGCCATTTATATTCAAGAATAGACATACTGAAATAAATGCTTTGACTTTGAATGAACCAAGAATGGTGATTTTTGTAGATGATGCATCATTAATTTTTAAAATAGATCAAAGTTCTAATAATCTTGACGACGTAAACGGCTCCATTCTTCGAGTGCATAATTGGTTCACCATTAAGCGCTAGGTTATTAATGACTTTCTCATTAGAAAAAACCAAATTTTAATTAATGATTGTGATGTTTTGAACGGGCAAAAGTTTGAATTCTGACTGCACGGTTGGCGCGGTGGCTGGGCAACCGGCAGCTGCGCAATGTGTCGCGGGTTCGATTCCCGCACGGAACAACTCTTTGTGTGATCCACAGATTGTTGTTCCGGGTCTGGGTGTCATGTGTATGTGAACTTGGATGTTTATAAACGCACCCACGACACAGGAGAAAATCCTAGTGTGGGGCAACGTTTTATTTTAAACAAAAAAAAAAAATTGTCGACGAAACGGTATTTTTAGGCAGGACCAGGGCCTTTCGCTTCGGCGCTTTCGGGGAGATTGAGCTCAGCTGCTTTTGCAGTTAGACAGCTCACGGACGTAGATAACGCAAGGCTTGTCTATTTTAGTAATTTCCACAGCTGCAGAAACAGAATCAATTTTTATTCTCAATCACTGGTTAATTTTGATGTACTATGTTTAGTGGAAGTTGTACAAATGCTTGGAAAATCTTGCCCAAATATTGCCCCTCCCGTCAAATCACTCTCCCAGAGTTCCACAATGGGACGAGCCGCTCTGCAGAAAAATGAGCGATAATTTCTTGAAATCCTCTTGCTCAACTGCAGAGTGAGCTCGCCTTTTGGCTGCGGGTGAATGGGAGTCGGGGTTATGGCTTTTTGCTTTGCCTTCGTCCAACCTAGGTACTTTGTTGGACGACACCACATTCCGCGCTGCTATTTGTTTAAGCCTCGGAGCTTCATTTTGTTCATCTCATCGTTCTCGTTGTGGTGAAGATGTCAACAGCCTTGGACACCATGGCTTGTCGTGTAGCCGTAGTACGGGCCGGTTTGCTCGACATGCAAATATTAATGACATAATATGTCGAGCTCTCCTCTCCGTTGGCGTGCCAGCTACTTTAGAACCTAATGGCTTGGTACGCGTCGATGGCAAGAGACCCGACGGTATGTCATTATTCCCTTGGAAGATGGGTAAGCCTTTAGTATGGGGCGCCACTTGCGTTGATACTCTAGCGCCATCCCATCTTCCAAGCTCAGCGTGTCGAGCCGGTGCTGCCGGAGAACTGCAAATGGCGAAAGTATAATAGCCTGATTGGCAATTTTGCTTTCGAACCGTTTGGGGTTGAAACTTTAGGGCCGTGGGGCCCAAGTACACATCTTCTTTACATAGATATTGTAAGGAGGGTGGTTGATATTTCAGGTGATCGAAGGGCTGGCTACAACCTTGGGCAAAGGTTAAGCATTGCCATTCAACGCGGCAATGCTGCCAGTCTTTTGGGCATCCTACCTCACGATAGAAATAAGGAAATTTTATTTAGGAACTTCACTGACGGACAGGCTAACTGACTATTATTTATTTCGTATTTGTTGACGTTTCACCTGTTCACCTTGATACTAGGACTTCATAACATAGTGTATTAAAAAGTGAGGGACTGCGGAAAAAATTAACGTATTTTTGTTGCAACCGATTTGTGCCACAGTGGACTGTTATAAGTATCGACTATTCTTTTGTTTCAGAGTGTGTGTTGAGGTAAGTTTGAAAAAAATGGTTGAAAAATAAAAGCTTTCTATGAAAGTGTACTGCGTTTAATCTGCAATTTGAGGATAAAATAAATTCAAGTTATATTGTAGTAGTAATAAAACAAATATATATTATTTTAGGTATAAGTACAAAAAAAACTGCAGTCTCATTTATATGTTTTTTACTTATCACATTATCATCTATAGGTACTTTACACAAACAGTACAATATTCGTATTAGCCTATCATACCCAATGTAACTTTGTACAAACGTTTAGTAATATATTATTATGTATTTACGTTGACTGTACATTTTTTAATACCTTAGTTCATTTTGGTCAAGTATTACATGATAAAACAATTGATAGCGGCGCACACGAATAATAATAAGCACTAATAATAGCTAGTCTGATGATAAGACTTATTAAATCTTATACATGGGAAATAATTAATTAACTTTTACAAGTAAAGAATCCAAATCAATTATATTATTATTAATGTTAGTCATCACAACTTGTCTATTAAGGAATGAGCTACATATTATCCTATAACATCCCTAGAAGTCGGGCTAAATATAAGTCTTGTGACCCCAAAACTTAAATTGTTGCTACGAGTTATTACAAAAGGTAATATAATATCACGGACAATTATTCAGAGATAGATACTATCCCCCTGAACTGAGAAAGTTTGCATTATAAAATAATAACATTCACTCTAACGTACGAAATAAACATGTGAACCGCAATCGCCAAGAATTGTCCAAACCTGTAAAAAACAATAGAAGTGATTAAATTCTATAATAGCTGATGAAAAGCAGTTGAAAATAATTTAAATAATAGACAAACTTTGCAAACTTTTAGTTGTGTTAGTACTTAGTATTCATTTTTGGCACTAAGCCATTTCTTTTTCCATTATGAAATAGCACGCGGAATATTACTTTTCAGAATGGATGGAAAATCAAATGATTCCTTCCATTCTGGGCAAGGCGGGAGAAGTGTTCGTTTTAACTACTACTCTGTGCCAGGGTATATACTAGAAAACTGTACTTGAGTGTAAGTTACTTATGTCGGTACTTACGTGACTAGTATTTGCGCGGGTAGTCGCGGGGCGGCGGTGCGTAGCGATCGGGATAGGGCGCGCCCGGCGGCGGCGGCTGATACTGCGGCGCGTACCGAGCTTCGTAACTGCCGTAACGTGCCTCGCCGCTCGACCAAGCTTCACCGCCTCCACCACTACCGTTACTACCTAAAATATAAATAATAAAAAAGTTACACATGTTAATTAAATAACTTTAGACAGTCAAAATGGAGATTTGCTTTTATGTAGAAATTGACACGATTCGTAAGTTAATTTGTATGAAAATCTCAATTTTGTTACTTCAGTTTCTTGTAACAACCTTGTAATTAACCGAAATCTAATACATTATGAATGTATAAATTACCTTTGGAAGGCGGTGCGGCATCAGGGTAGCGACTGGACGCATTCCAGCTACGTGGTTCTGGTTTTCCGGGTGGCGACGGCCGGTACGAACGGTTGTCCCGAGACTCGTATGAGCGACTACAAATAAAACAAAATTATAGGTATGATCTTAAAAAAATTAAAATACATATCTAAATAGTATATTATACAAGATTAATTCAGTACCTGGGCTCTTTAGGCCTGGTGCCTGGTGGCATTGGTTGCCGGGAGTCTTCACTGGCACTGCCATTGCTCGAGTATTTCATGTTACCAGCTGTAAAAATAATATTTTTGTCATTAAACTGTCAAACACCGCGAGGACACCGGTGACCGCAACCTATTGTTCTTTAACTCGTCGAGTACCGGTTTTGTAGACACATTTATAGAACAATAGGTTGCGGTCACCGGTGACCGCTTGGTGTTTGACAGTTTAATTGTGTCTATAATGACGGTACTCAACGAGTTAACTAATATTATTGTATTCATTATAATATTTCAATACATTTTACGTTTACACACGAATAAAATATAATACTCACATGAAACATGACGAGGATAATCTCGCTTGTAGTCACGTTCGCGATCCCGCTTGTCAGCTCCTCGCTCGTAGCTCGCGGTCATCTCGAACCGAGGTGGAGGCGGTGCTTCAAACTGTCCTCGGCTGGACGACTGGTGATATTTATTATGTAAGTGAAAAATATCAAACGTGAGGAAAGTCGCCATTCGTTAAAACCGTCAAATTTAAGTTAAATCATTAATATGGAGTCTTTACAACATTTAAATCCCATGTCTAAGGTTTGAGTTGACTACTTGTCTTCCTATGAGAAGTTCTTAACAATAGATCTAAATAAAAAATAGCTTTCAGGAGTAATTCAAGCTTTAAAACAACCGAAACTGGGATAAACAATGTCAGTAAGGAACATAGAATAATGTAAGTTTTTGGTACATACTATGGGTGGCGGCGGCGGTCGCTTGTGCCTGGTGTCACGCTCGTACGCAGGCTCGGGCGGCGGACTGCCCGCCTTGCGATATGTACTACCCTCGTATCCGCGCTTACGACGCTCTTCTTCCAATCTGAGGATTCACATGACTTCAATTAACTTACTAAATTGTAGGAAGGTACATTTTGACGACAGAACTAAGTTCAGAAGCGTAGAGCGGAAACAACGTTTCATAAATGAATATTTTGAAGTAAGTACGGTAATAACAGCTGTCTTACCTTAGTTGAGCACGTTTCAGTTCCAGTCTTTCCAATTCGAGTTTCTCTCGCTCCAGTCTATGACGCTCGCGTTCCAAACGAAGCAGCTCGTTCTTTTCGCGTTCAATTTTTTCTCTGCAAAATAAGTTAGCAGTGTTATTCAATCTTTTTTAAAACGCTGGATTGATCATTGATTCTATTTCCAGTTCTTCTGTTATTTACCTGTACTGCGTGCTAGGTGTAAAGGAAACAGTTACGCAACCTGATTGGGTGACAAAAGTAATGAGATAGTCGTACCTTTCAGCCCTCAGCTTCTCCCTCTCGAGTGCGAGTCGATGTTTCTCCTGTCTCTGTCGTCGCTCCCGCTCGCGTAGCGCGTCCTCGGCCGCGCGACGCCGGCGCTCCTCCTCGCGCGCCGCACGCGACCTCTCCCGTGCACGTGCCACGTCGCGCTCCTTCTGCACCATATATTTAACCCATTACCTCATATTCCATACACAGTTATACTACTAACACTCGTAACATTCTCATAACTCTGTACATGCCATTGCTTGAAGGTCAAACTGACAATGTCTCAATGATAGTATTTTCCACTTTATATGTTTAAAAGTCGAAAATCTGTTAGAGAAACTCCGATTGGTTACATGCATCATCATAATTATTATCAACCAAAAGGTGTTCACTACTGAACATAGACCATTTCAGATGACTGCAGATCCCAGTAAAATTCATCCATGATTCACGCATGCGTTTGTATACTAAAAATACAATTCTCATAAAAACATTACAACTTAAAGTTATCTTAAATTTTATTATTAGTTTGTATAGTTAAGCTTTTCTAATTTGCTCTTCCGAATATGACTTCAAAAGTTATGCAATTGTTTCGATTGTTTTGATGAGAAGTGTATAACCATAACCCCACCCATACTAACCCAAATTTTGGAAAAAGACAAAACCTCCCGAGGCGATCGCCGACGCTCTCGGCTCCTTGTGCTTCGCTTCGTACGATCCTGTGAATTGTCGCAAGTAATTTTTGTAAGCACTTAATAATGAACTAAGCTTTGTTAATCTTTATTTGCACACCTAATTTTATATAGTTTTAGCAATAATTTTTTAATAAGTTGAATGTAACCTTATCAGAACGATGTGACTTTTCGCGTGTTCGTGAAGTGGACCGAGTACTTTCTGCTCCCGACATTTCACTCTCCTTCTTCACTGTCTTTTCGATACCTTCTTTGTTATCCTGAAAAAAAAAAAAAAAAACATTATTTTTATTTAAATTTTAACATAGATGACAGAACAATGTTTGTATGAAATTTTATTGTTTTTATAAAAGTATAATTACCTCATTTTCTTTAGCTTCTTCTTTACGTTCTTTGCTAGGGCGACGTTCCGAACGTGCGGATGGTTGGCGGCGTGAGGCCGATTCCGATTCTGACTTAGCCTTCTCAACAGAAATCATACGCCCATGCAGTTCTGTCAAAAAATAATAGGGTAGCAGTCATTTTATGTCCTGTTAGAACCATATTTCATTACTTTAGTGCGTCTTAACTAGTCACCTGTTCTATGCAAGTTTTTAATACAATTCTCAGCGTCTTGAGCACTTGCCATCGTAACATAGCCATAACAACGAGAGCCAGGAGTCCTAGCATTAGTTACCACCTTGGCTCCAATCACCTAGGGCAAAAATAACATTTTAGAAATAAAAATATAGTTACAACTGTGGACAGGTATTATGTTTTGCAAGAGTATAACATAAGGAAATCAACCACTTTGCTTTTGTTAAAACATTGCTTGTTTACCTTCCCATGCTTGCTGCAGAGTTGCTTCAAGTCCTTAGCACGTGTGTCACCAGACAAGCCACTGACCCACAAGTTTCTAGCACCTCCTTCTTTATTCTCCTCTTTTTTCTCTTTCTTTTCGCCATCTGCTTCTTTGTCTTTTTCTTCTTTAAAAATAAATTCAATATTAATTTTGTTCTGTAATAATTTCAAGGTAGTTAATGATAATCTATGTATTAGTATCATACCAACCTTTTATCTCCTTCTCATGCTTCTCATCCTCATTGCTGAAAAAACAGACCAAAGCATTAATAACCAATAAAATATATTAAAAAAATGCATTTACAACAATACAAATTGAGGTTCGGATTTAATCACAAATATTTTAATAATGTGTTTCCCAAATTTAATGTGCAGGTTGGTGACATTATTTTTTTTTATATTCCCGTAGTGACACTCGTCACCTACAAAGTTTTGCACCATTACTCCACCGCGAGGCCAGTAACGAAGACAGCTCCAGCAGAGATGCAGGCGTCGCCTCAAACCCCTTGCGTAGCGCTCAGCAGCTGCCGAAGTATCGCGCGGACTGCAAGCCGATGTCAGCAACAGCATCCAAGCTTATGCAGCAGACTGCAGCTCGTCGCTGGTTACGACGCGGTGCACGACGAATTTCGTTGAGAAGAGTTGGTAGGTAGTTGTAGTGAGATCCACAGAGCAGCCATATTCCAAATGTTTGGTGCAAAACTTTGTAGTGATAACGAAAGAAAAGTATTGGATGACGGAATAATCGAAGTTATAGATGCGCGTGGGCGGCGACACGGCGGCCGTTCGACGTTCACCAACCTAGTGGCGGGGGCTTCGGAGTTTACTTGCTGTTGATCGTCGGCAGGCTCGTCGTCGCCGTTCGCTGCAGAGTCGGCAGGCGCAGACTTGTCGCTCGATGGCTCGGCCGCGTCCTCCTCCTCCTCCTCCTCCGCAGCTTCATCTACGTCAGTTGCGGTTATCAGCTGAGCCAGCGCAGGTCGCTCGCCGAGACTCGGGAGCGGCCCACCCTGCCTCTTCTCTATCTCGGCTGGACAGTGTTGGATTTCTTCAGGTTTTTCATACTTGTTTGATGTTAATACAAAATATCCTGACCTGAAAACTTGATTGGACATTAACACCACCATCTGGATATGGGGGCAGCATAGCAGCTATGAGCTACTATGTCCATAGTAAAGCATACATAACTGTAGGACACCAGAATGCTGCAGTGATTGAAAATTCCCTGCCACTTAAGTTATACAAAACACCACATCATTGCAAAGAAAGTCACCTCAGTCTGGGCTCATTTCAGTTGTACTCCTCCTGAATTACAAACAATTTCATTTGTTCTCTTTCTTTTAGTTTATGGTTGTATTCTGTGTTGCAGCTGTTTCTATGCACCATGCTTGCTTGCCTTTTAATAAAATTTTTCTTCTGCTATGCACAACTTTCCAGTCTTGTAAACCGCAACATTTTTTTTAAATTTCAGCATTTGGATAAACATTGCAACATAAGCAGGTTCGTAACTAAGTTCACATACTGAAGAAATTAATACTTTCTATTTTTGACACATTACTTCAGTTCAATAATGTCATATTTTAGTTATGATTTCTGTTATTTAGATACATTAATTAACAAGTGGAGTATTTTATTACCATTATCACAACAATATCCACCATTTATTGATCTAGAAAGTAGACATTTATTTACAGAAAATGGATTAAATTCAATTCTAAGCTTACCTTTTTTAGATGGTTTAGTGTTGTTTTCAGTCTGAAAGAGATTAAATACAAGGTTAGTATAAAGTTACATGCCTGCATAACAAATTACATCAATATTAGTTTAAGATGTTTGGCGTTATTCCAGTATCATATTAATATAATTACTGAAACAGACTAGGTTTAAAAGCAGTTTCCGAAATAATGTTAGATAAACTGAGATGATTAAAAAAATAAGATACTTATAATACTATAAGTATATTTCACATAAAATATAAATGGTACATAAATACATATGTTGTATTTTTACTAACTCATTATCAATTTGCTCATTAATTACTTTAAATACGTATTAATCTATCTCCATCATGAACCCATTGGATATTTTGGAGGTGACCGGAGGGAGTTTAACTGTAACACTGAAGAAATAGAAACGTACCTCTTCATTGAGCAGTTCATCATCACCAATATCCAAATTAATGCTGTCTTCAGCATCAGTGTTGTTCTCTAGTTTGTGATCTTCCTCATTAGTTGTATCTTTGTCGAGGCAAGGCTTCTTAGCCTCGGTTGCCTCTGGTTCTTCCTTTAATTCCCTTTTCCTATTTAATTTTTCAGGTTCCTCGACCTCCATGGTGTCTTCAGCTTGAGAATTGGTTACGTCGGGTTTAACATCTCCTTGCTCTGTTTCTTCTTCCTCTCCAGCATCATCTTGCACGATCATATCCTCCATGGCCGGAGTATCTTCAGCTTCCTGTTCAACAGTACTCTCCGATCGTCTGGTTCTTTTAGCCGGGGTTTTCGCCTCTACGGTAGCCAATTCGAATTTGAAAGTAGCAGGATCGTGCCCTTCCTCTTCTAAATGCTAAAAAGAATTTTGTTTTTATATATTGATTTTGTTGATAGCTGTTGCATTATTACACGTTTCATGCTATAAACACGTCACATATTTACCTTCGATAAACGCTGTATGAGCACACCGCGAACACCGCTTTTATCTAGGTTGCGCTTCTCTAATTCTGCCCGTAAGTCTATAACTCTGAGGTCATTTAGCAAGCGCTTTTTGTCCGACATCGCTTGATGTTATTTTAAGAATGTTACTATTAATAACTTCTTTATCTTGAAGTAAATTTTCTATAATATATGAAACCAATAATCCCACACACGAATGACAAAAATGTTAAGATGGCGATCAAAGATGGCGGGCGGCGGCGCAGATTTTCACCATAGACTATTTAAAAAGAAAAAAGGAATGGCCACACCGTAGACAATGGATGAAAAATTTTTCGACGATTAAACGAACAATAAAAATCTTTCAGAAAATACTGATTTTAATAAAATAAGATAAGAAACCACCGTTCTAACTAAGCTCGAGAAATAAAATAAGCTTTCAGGGATTATAAAATAATTCTGAACAATATTGTATATATCCGTATATCATGCTATTTTTCGAATTTCGGATATATCCGACTCGGGCAGCCAGCAGGTTAAAAAAATACATAATCACATGACTGTTTGACTGTCAATATTTTTGACAGTGTCATTATTCTTTTGTATCTAAATAGTGTGGAGAGTTAGTTGACGACAAATTATTTTCTTTTATGTGTAATACTTCTTAAATACTTAAAGTTGAAATCATTTAGTTATTAGAATATTAATATAATATACATATAGGGAACCTAAATTATGGCCGGAGAGTGCCAAGGTACTTTAGTAAATAATTATATTTTCACGGTTTCCCAATTCGAACTGGTTAGTTTACCCTAACAGTTTATGTTACTTGTGTTTTAGATGCTGTTAATCCAACCGAGGCTGTTGCGAATGAATTACTGGATAAAATAATATTGAAACAATTGCATTTGATGGAAGAAAAGATGCGTTGCGAATTAAACATAGAGACCAGTATCAAGAATGGAAGTATTCATCTAGCAAAGTCTCGTTATATCATGGGGCAGAGCTCTGTGAGCACAGCACGGCTCCCTACTGAGAGCAGCCCTGATTTCTCAGCTTCTACAATTTGTGAAACAACTGAGGAAGATGGAGTTAAACTCATGAAAGTTATTGAAAATGATGCTGAGAACACTGTTAATCCCCTTCGTTGGTTTGGTGTGTTAGTTCCACAGAACATGCATAAAGCTCAAAGTATATTCCAGAATACTATTAACTTTATTGTAGAATGTGTCAATGTTCAGTTACAGTTGAATAGCAATTTGAAACTTATTAATATGTTGAAACAGTATATTGGTTCCAGAAAACTTACTTAGCCATCTAAAGTATCGCAGGCATTGTCAATATATTTATGTTGGTTTGTTGTTTCACCTTCTTATGCAAATTATTTGTTGTTGAGTTGTAAGTAAAACAAATCATGATTCAATTGTTATTTATTATTTTATTTGTGAAATGAACACTAGGTGTCATGTTGGTGGCTTAATTGTACTGCAATAAGCATAATATATTATCATAATTTATTGATTTAATCACAACATATCTATGTATTGAAATGTCTTTGTAGTGAAACAGTTTCTTTATGCACTGGAATTATTATTAAACAGCTCTTCCATGTATCACTGAAGTATTAATTTGTAACATTACTTAATATTTTTTGGTGTGACATACTTTGTTATTATACAATTAAATATGTAAAATAACTGGTTTTATACATACAAGTTCTACAAAACAGATTTTTTAACAGCATTTATGTTTGATTGTCTAGATATTTAACTAGATAATGTTTGCCTTAGGTACACAAACAACAGAAATGGAATGTTTATCTGGAGAATACTAACTGACATGAAACCAGCAAATATATTTCATCTAATTTAGCTTTCACAAGGGGATATCAATTAATAACAATATCATACTTGTGTTAACAAACTGGGTGTATGTTTAACTGGTATTATATTTTATTTGAGATCTTTACATTTAACATTCAGATATTTTAAATACATTTAATTTCATTAGGACAAAACTAGCCATATTAAATGTTTGTAGTCTGCCTATATCTGGGTTTTAAATATCCTGTAAGCAAATTAACTAAAAATCGCGGGTTACTCACGTGAATACACTAAGAAAAGCTCTACTAGTTTCGAACCACAGAAGGGTTGGTTATCAACCTGTCCTTTCCTGTGCCGAACCCGGAATCGAACCCACTACTCGCGCCACTGGTGAACGTACCGTGCGCTTTAGCATCATCCAACGTCAGCCAATAGGCTGCGCGACATTGCCGCGACCGCGCACGCTGCTCATGAGGAAGAACCCCTCTGTGGTTCAAAACTAGTAGAGCTTTTATCAGTATATTCACGTGAGTAACCCGCGATTTTTAGTTAATTCTGTAAGTAATTATTGCAGATGCACTTATTGTTTATGGCAAGGAACTTATTTCACCTATTTACCGATTTCCCCAAACACAAGAATATAACATAAATCATTAAAGATTTTCAGTCTCTGTTTAACAGCCAGTTACATTTTAAGTCTTCATACCACCATCTCTTAAAAATGTACTGCAGAAATTTATTTATTTCTTGAAATACTAATTCGATTGCAGCAATTTCATTCCTAGAGGTCTCTTATCTAAAAGATTGAAGATAACATTTTAACATAACACAACACAACAATAATAATGTACACAATTCAATGAGCAACTTTAATGTGAAAACAAATTGTAACTTTAACTACAATTGCAAAGAGAAAATATTTTAAAACTTCTTTGAGAAGTGCAAAAATCAATAGTCATTACAAAATATATAATAGCTTTTAATAAAATATTAATTTTTGTGCAATTGTGCGAAGAAATTGATTATTAAGTAAATTTTTGGTATTTGTGCTTAAACAATGGCATCATGACTAGACTTTATATTGAGCTGTCTTGTAAGTCATTAGGACATAATACTGAGTCTGTGGCATCTGTGATACAAAAGTACCACCATTACATCAATACGAACATGTTTTTTTACAAATGTTTTAAGTCTAGCCCAAATACTGTGTTTAAATAACTCCATAAATGTCATAATTAACATACAAAATAAAAACATGTTTACAGCTTTGATCTGATCGCTATTAGTACGACGAGACGTCGGTCTTAGGTTCGATTAAAAACAAACTTGAAATATTAAAGTCGCTTTTGTAGTATTTACATAAGTAATAGTTAAAAAATATTTACAAAATTCAAATAATTTACAAAAAACAATCACAAAACTGGTATGATATTATATAAAAACATGTCTTAAATCTAATAAAATTCGTTATTAAGTCAATAAAAACATTTAACAATAGGTAAATAAATTAAAACTACAATGGAATGTTTATACACTCAAAAATATTGATACACATGATTTGTGCTATTGTTTGCTAAATGCAAAAGCGATTCTACTATGATTCTCAAGTCATCAGTAGAGACAGGTCTCATTCACAAGAACTCTTTCAGGACGCTAGAACCATGTTGGGCGCCAATATTATTTAATTTATTTATATTAATTAATTTACTAATTTCATCCGCGTTACTACACGCCTCACTAGTTCATGTTACAAAAATATCTTGGGGGAAAATTCGAACACCGAACACCGGCAATCTAAGACTTAAACAGAACCACTACTACCATTGTATGCTATGCTATATGGACGCGATTACAAATGTCGGCTCGACTCGTAACACGATGGGATAAGATGATGCGTCGGTGGCGCCCGGGCTCAGCGACTGTCATGTTGGCGAGCCCGGCCGCGTACGGGGCGGGCTCGCAGCAGTAACGTACGAGCGGTGCGGTGGCGGGCGCGACTTGCGCGTCGCTAGCCGTTGTCGCGGGTGTCGCGTTGTGCGGAGCTGGCGGCGCCGGCGGCGCGCCACTCGGCGCGGGTGCAGGCGCCGTCGCGCCACCACGCCTGCACGTCCGAGTAGTGCGCACTACGCTGCCGCCGCTCGTTCGCGTGTACCATGGCGCACACGCGACAGAAGAAGTATGTGTTTATGAACTCTCCCGTACCCTGATAAAAAATTTGATTAACGTGAAACCTCCATCTTTCTTCTGTAATATGTATAAGAAATTACCTATTATGGAAGCCTCAACACTTACTTTCCACTTGAAATAGGAATTGTATAAATTATCGTCTTCGTCAAGACGCCTCAGATAGGCAGCGAGTTCTTCAGGACTAGCGAACTCCTCCACATGGACGTACGAGTTGTGAGGCGCTAAGGCTGCATACTCTGATGCGCGAGCACCCATCACTATAGGCAGTACGTTGTGTCTGTAAAAAGTATGGCAAGTGAAAACCACAGTTCCAAACTAGACTTATATTTGGGTATGGGTTTATTTAAACCCAAGAACGCTACAATCCCGAATAAGATTAAAAAAGTAAGGTAGGTACTTTCCTTAATCAAAAATAAATAAATAAAATAAATAAATTATTTCGACTGTTCAATACAATCCAACTTAATTTTAGTATTTTTCCATCAAATTTCTATGAAATAAGTATCTGTTTGACGTTAAAAAAATCGCGAAGTTGCAAGTACCCAATTTGTTAAATTTATTCATTACTTTTTCGACTTGATGTCAATTCAAAAAAAGTTGAAGAGTAATAGAGAAATTTGACAGAAAATTATTGGTTGTCTTGCTGACCATCCGAGCAATTAAAGGCTCCTCTCAGCTTATAGGTAGGTAGGTAGGTACTTATGTCCGGTACTGGTACTGTTGGCTACTGGGCTGGGTACTGTTGGCTACTGGGCTGATTAGGTACTGTTGGCTGTAATGCAAATATTAAATTTGCATTACAGCCAACAGGAGTTTTGCAGTTTTGCAGGTAGTGATGCCCCTAACGAGGCGATTTTTTGGGTAACGGATAAACCGCTAACTACAAAAATAAGATACACTTACTGCAGTCCATTGACAAAGAATTTCTCAGTGACGTAATCACGACAGTTTGAGTTCTCGAATGCGAGGTAGAACTTGTAGTCCTTATCCAACATTTCGAGGCAGTTGGGGTCAGTACGAGGACAGTGGTGTGCTCCACAAGCCCCGTAGATGTCTACCTGGATGTATTTGCTGAGCTGACGCGCGTATTGTAGCCGCCGGTTGCGAGCGTGACAGTTCGATACGAACCACGCCACCTGTTAAGATATTTGTCAGCTAATCAACTTTTCAAATAACTCATTCCCTATTGACATTTTTCTTCACAAAAGTCGGCTGGCAGGTAATTTAGCTGATACGATGGTGAGTTACCTAAGCTAAGATTATGATAAAGATAAGATAATTTTATTTTTTGCTGTACCTAATGATACCTAGGTTCCACCTTACTCACAACTAAATTATACGTTAAGTAATAACAAAAATTTATTTTGTCCCTATTTTTTTTACTCACCTTTTTAGTTTTATTAGCAGCAAAGTTTCTGTCAAGATCTTTTTCGATGATGAGGGGATCGTAGTAGACCCAGTGTTCGTAGGGTGCGACGATGTCGGAATCCCGTCGGTAGGTAGACGTCCAGTTGAACACATCCACCGATGTCGGCCGTAATGATGCCGTGTGGTAAGGACACTCCAAATAATAAAGGATCCAGATCTGGAAAGTAACTGACTGAATTAGTTTTTGCAAACATTTTTTATGATGATCGCGTAAAAATTATAGCTATTGAAATGAAGAGCACAGTCAATTTTTATTATCTCCTTTTTGAGACTCGGGTAATGACCAGTGGTAGTCGGGTAATGCCAATATTAGGTAAGCACTGTTTGCTTTTTTGTCTAAGGAATATTTATTAGATACTAGCGGACCCAGCGAACTTCGTATCGCCTCAAACATTTTTTTCTCGCCTTTTCCTTGCTTGGACTTTCACGAACATTCCAAGACCGAAAGCATCCAAATCGGTCCAGCTGTTCCCGAGTTTTAGTGAGACTAACGAACAGAAAATTATTTATATTTATATAGATTAGAAAGAGAAGGTAGGTACCCACAAAATTGCTTCGCCTTACCTGTTTAGGTGAACGTTTTACGTTGAAAGGTGTGTGGTGGTCTTTGTAGAGAATGGCATCAGCAGTGGCGGCATCTCGTGCGTCTGAAGAGAGCGTGCAGCGATCTACTGGGCATTTGTTCCGAATGAACTCTGTTCTCCCTCCCGACACGCCCCATGCTCCGAACCCGTTTGCAAGTAGGATTTTCTTTATAGGCACATCTTCGTCTTTTGGTAACGTATACATTAATTGGTTAACGACTCTGTAATGAGGTGAAAATTGGATTGTTGTTACAAACCAGCTAATATAACTATCATAATATTTTTATTGGTTACCATTGGTACTTTTAACAACGAATAAAAGGTTCAGTATAATTAACCTGTCTTGTCCAGGTGCATCTTCTGGGAACAGTGCAGCGTTAGGTTCGTGCTGCGTGGGCCGTTTGTCTCCTCCGCGCATGAACCAGGGCAGCTGAACCGTCCCGTCATCTTGAACTGCTGCGAACTCCGACTCCGTGATCGAGTTCTGAATTTATAACAACGAAACTAAGTTTATTGTTAACTTAAAGTTTTAGGAATATTTGAATTCTTATGAATTTACGAATTACCTCTATTTCTTATTGGCGTAAATCTCGATTCTCGCCTATGTTTTATTGTTTGCTATAGGTTAATTTTACACAGCATTATTTATTTTTAACTTTATTGTTACGTAATAAGGTTAAGAATCTATTCAAAAATATTTATGCTGGTGTTTTAAAAAACTCGATCAGTCTATTTCCGCTATGAAGAGGATGTTTATGTTCATGTATATCATTGTGTAACATCAGAGGTGCATTAACCGAATAATAGATAATAACTACTTAACGCGTAACAGAAACAGTTAATCTAGTAGGTACAATTAAGTACCTAGGTATGTATTAGCAATCGTATGTGAGAATTTCTTCCAGCTACTGTACATCTCTTGCTGTTATGAGAAGCAAAAGAAAGTGCTCTTTCTACACCAGTGTTGTATGTGAACAAAATGTTTTATATTTACATTCCGTGTTATTAAACGGAATACAATTATTATCGTTTCAGAGATTTCAGGTATCTACCTACCGAAGTACTAAATTGCAACATAATAATATTTACACACCTTACACTTCAAAATCGTGTTTCAAAACCGATATTGGGGCGGGAGTGCGGGACACGTGTGAAGTCAGTTTTAGAAGTTAGAAAGAGATAGATAGCGATTATTCAAGGGAGAGATCAGATCATCAGATTCAGATGGATGTTGATAGATAACAATAGGGCAAGTAAAAGAAGGTATGATTATGCTCTTTTTTTTTTTTTTTTTTTTAAGGGGGGAAAATCATCGAATGACTGCCCCCGCTCTACGAAGTCGATACGTTTTGATTAGCATAACATCACGCCTTTTTATACCCGAAGGCGTAGGCAGAGGTGCTTATTACGGCGCTTAATGCCACTGTACAATGTAACACCCATTTTTCACTATTTATGAATAGCCATATACCGGGGAATTCCAGACACCGTGCTACTATTGAGATTTTTTTTAAAACTCATTAACATTTGCTCAACCCGGGAATCGAATACGAAATACCTTGTCTGGCAGTCGCACTTCCGACCCCTCGGCCAACGAGGCAGTTTTAATTAGCTGTTTCTTTATTTGCAGCTTATGGTAAACTGTACGATGAATGCCGATTGTCGGTTATTATTGGCATTTAATTGATATTTTCTCAACATGATGTTGCAATAAAAAACGTACCTAATTAAGAAAGCACGAATCATTATATAGTTAGTAAATGTAATTCTGATTACTTTTAACAACAACAAATTATGAAAATAGTAATTAAAAGTATCATACAGAATGTGATAATGCTGTCCCACTTACAGGCCATTTTTATTGTTCCAAGTTGTACCTACAAAGGTTTGTATCATACGTACCTACAACTTCATTAAGGATGCATCGTATTTATTTATTAAATAGGTCTGGTGATTCCAGTGTGTCCAAAGTGACCAGTATATAATTTTATAATGCCCATCTAATTAACCTACGTATGAAGCACCAATTGTTATACAGCGATTACCTTAATTATCTCATAATTATTTCATGATTATGCTGATAAATGATTTTTAAATCGTTTGATCATCAATTCTTGTTTTAGTTTAAGTAACCATAAAGCATTCTTTGATTTGGTCACTTTGGAAGTTACCTCAATGTTGGCGTCGAGGGCAGGTGGAGGTACGGGCGGGGAGGGGCTGCGCGGCGCGGGGTCGAGCGAGGGCGGGCGCGGCAGCAGCAGCAGCACCAGCGCTGTCAGTGCTAGCGGCAGCAGCAGCGCGGCCCTGCGCAGCGCCCGTATCGCGCGCGCCGCTCGCACCCACATGCTGGCGTGCGCGCTGTGTGGCAGTGTCGCCCGCTCGCTATCCCACCCTGGCCGCACTAGCTAGCACCCTGCTACACGCCGCCGCCTGCATCCCTGCCTCCTCACTATCGTATTCCGATTACTTCTAACATCTGTAACAAAATAAAATGAAATATTTACTGAGGTGTCTTTGTATTTTAGAAGGTACTTATAACTCAATCGCCTTTTAAACACTGCATTTAATTAATACATACTATCTATACATAGGTGTACATCAACCCTTTATTTACCTGAATATTCATCACGGAAGTTCAGTCTGTCCACCTCTAAATGATATAGGAATTAGATAATACTTAACTAAGTAATGACCTAAATTGATGTGATGTGTAAAACGCACAAATAAAATACTAACGTTGCTAGTAGGCACGTAAGTGTGGACTTTATTTCCTAATTGTTAAAATTAAACTATGTACCTTCCTGTATTTGTTTAGTTAAACTAAGCATTAAGTATCCTCTTATTAATGTCTACTCGCAAACACGACGTATATTCAACTATTTATGTATTTCCTTATTTACAATTTAATTTCTTAGGAGGTAGGTCTAGGACACGTTCTCGCCTTCGGTTTCATTAATATAAAATTTGATTTATAATTATTGCTGAGTAATAAGGTACCTAGTAGCGTAGGGTAAAGTTTATTAGGCAGTATATTATAAAATAATAGATATTTTATAGCTAGCGCAAGGCAAAATGACAATAGTATCTATGTAAGTAAATAGGTATGTACCTACCTACTTAGTACATAAGTTGGTATATAGGTACTCACCAATTCACCGTACATCCATATACATAAGACCCATACAATAGTTCTTAATTATAATGAACAAAGCCTTATGTTGACTTAAGCCAAATGTTGTTATTAAATGGTTTCGAGTATTTGTATTCAATTCAGAGTCGTAAATGTTCGAAATATGTTGAGAATCCGTAAACTATAGAAATATTAATTTCTATGAATACAACACAAGAAAATAAAGTAAAAATATTTTATGGACTGAATGCTGTACTTGAACTAAAGATTTCTCGCAATGATATTTCCCTTGTATTTAGCACCACCAAACACTTTACACAGCTGATTTTCTGTATATAAATGAATAAAATGTAGCTACAAAAAGCATAAAAGCATGTAAAATATGTATACGTAGTAGATCAACAAAAAACTTGTGTAAATAAATGTAAACAATATGTGTACATGTCAAATCTTTGTGCTTTTAATCTTCTTTAGACAACTGAATGGTACCTACATAGAGTCTTTATTTGATTAGACCTAGATAACTTTCTACACAATGGTTTGGTTTTGGTGTTCATTAGATGTAGAAGATTATATAGCGAAATAACTGGACAATTACAAGATCCCTTTAATTTAAGATCCGGGTGCATAACGGCACTAAATAAATGCTTTCTTCAAAATTCGCTCAGCGTGTTTGTGACCCCTTTCCAATTCGAATAAAAACTGAAGACTTTTTTTGTTTGAACGCACTAATTTGAACAGCACCAGAGTATCGAATGGGATATAATATTTTTTTTATGTTGGATAGTCCACTTATCAAAGAAGGCTTTAGTCTATAAAACATCACACTTCAATTACCTATCTTGATATAAAGATGTATCCATTTATCTATAATCTAAAATGTTACGTTTTGAGTTCTCAAGTTCATTGAACTCTAATGATTGAGCGTACTTGTATTTGTCAAACATTGCGGTTACTTAGACGATGCTAATTCGATACCGTTCTGTCATACTGCGCTTGCGACGCAACTCGTAGATGTTAAAAAGTAACGTTTTATCTGGAAAATCTCTCGTTTACGGCTGTCGACCTGTGTTTTGTAAATATTTACTGACAACTGACAATACCTCTATAACGGTGTTTATGTACCTACTATTCTATAATTCGATTAGAACCTTTGTAACAACGGGTTAACCAGAGCACTCATTATCACTGTGGTACGATCTACGATACGATTGTAGTACCAATGCCAATTTAACATAACATTACGTTTTCCAAGAAGTAGTATTATTAGTATTAACAGAGATGTATTTAATAAAACATTTTTTTAATTTTAGGACACTATTTAACGGCCTCAGTTTATTATTAAGTACCATGTCATAAAATGACAACGTTATGCCTATTAATCCTCGACGAGTTAGATAGAGTCATTCAGGTGTTCAAATTCAATTTAAAATCGGATTTTCTAAAAGTATAAGTTCCATAGTGGTTAGAGGTGATGTGAGCTAGCTAAGAATGATGGAAAAACCAAACCCAGTAAGACTTTAATCGGACCGGTAATCGAACCAGATACCCCTTACTCGGCAGTCGCGGTTACTTTACTTTAGGAATTATATACATCATAAACATGCTTTATGTCTAAGCATGGCCTAAGCATAATATTTCAGCAGAACCTACATAAGTAGACACCATTATAATAATTTTATGTTTACTTGTTTTCATGCAAATAGACCACCCTATATTTGACATTTCTCCTTATTGTCCCCATGCCATCAAGAGTTGTCTATGTTTAGGTTCATGACCTTCAGACCTTCAGACTATAGTGGTCATGTCAAGGTCACGCTATTTAAAGGTAAAAACACATTATCTATATCTATTAATAGATTGACATTACAGTCCCTAATGGTTTTCTACGTGAAATAAATAAACACAGTGTTTGTTTACATTTGTATTAGATTTTGAGACTTTAGTTAATAGTTCAATGGATTAGGTGTTATCGAATTTATTTTTCATATGGTATTTAAGTGTGGGAGAGCCATGCTTCGGCATGAATGGGCCGGCTCGACCGGAGTGATACCACGGCCTCACAGAAGACCGACGTGAAACAACAATGCGTTGTGTTTCGTCGTATGAGTGAGGTTACCGGATGCCCAATTACCCCCCCCCCCATCCCTTTCCCCAATCCCTGAATTCCCAAAAATCCTCAAATTCCTAATTCCAAAAGGCCGGTAACGCACTTGTAACGCCTCTGGTGTTCCAGGTGTCCATGGGCGACGCCGATTGCTTACCATCAGGTGATCCGTCTGCTCGTTTATCGGCTTACACCATAAAAAAAATACCTTAACAATTTATTTCAATACTTTCCCAATGAATTGATGCATCCTTAGGATAAAAATGAGATGCTTGCACATCAAAGTACATGCATAACATCACGATTTTTATCCCCGAAGTGGTAGACAGAGGTGCACATTATGCCACTGTACAATGTAACACTTACTTTTCACTATTTGTTATGAGTCCCATGTAATATGGGGTGAGCCTATTGCTATATACAGGGCACAATTCCACATCACATCACATCACATCACACGGGCACGAGTACATCAAAGTAATTGTTAAGTGGTTTAATAATTAGTGAATTTATACATAGATAAAATATTCTTTAAATGTTAGTATTGTTAGTGACATTCTAATAGTAGGTATATATATATATAGCTACTATTAGAATGTCATGAAATATATATATATTTACATCCTACAACACTTTTGGCGTCACGCACGTCGCGCATCATTATGACGTCCCCCAGTTCCCCTTAATATTTTTAATATGTCTTGATGAATATTGCTTAGTTATTCGATTTCCAGCTTTGTAGGATACGTCATTTTCCGATAATTTTATTTTTCGCGATATTCTTCTTGCAGTCATGCTGCAACATTTTTGAACCCCAAACAATGGTGATAACAAATTGGAGTCCTAGATATATTGATCGTGATTTAACCATGGTATCAGCTACTTAACGTCCCCACAGCGTGGATGGTATTTGCGAGTGCAACGTTGCCAGCTTTGGGTTCACTTGTCTCTTTCTTTTACTCTCTCTTGTCACTCGTCTGGTAGTACAGAG